GAACTTTCCAATTAAAATAATTTCGTAATATTCTAGATAAGAAGATTTTCATTCCCAGCTGTTCGATAATGAGATTTTATTTTATGCTATTCGCTGCAAAATGAAAAACAAACATCATAGAACTATACCTCGCATATAAATGAAATAATATAAGAAGATATATATATATATATATATATATATATATATATATTTGAATAGTCTTGAATTTGATGTTAATACAATATATTTAATTTGAGTTAAAAAGTCGGGCGTTACATCAATAAAAATAGTATGAGACTTTTTAGAAATTTATTTAAAATCCATACGTTTCGGCTAGCATCTTAGCCTTTATTCAATTTAACTATAAAAATGAAAACTAAATAGATAATATGTAAGACATTTCACACATATATATATATATATATATATATATATATACATTTCACACACACACATATATATATATATATATATATATATATTTATTCTTGAGTGTTAATTTACAGCAAATCGTCGAAAAAATATAGAAAAATAAAAATATATATAGGGTACAGCGGGGTTTAAAGGTGCGCGGATTAAATTCGATATCTGAAAAACCAGTTATTAATTTTCAAATACAACTATATTTGAAAGTAAAGTGAACAAGATGTATAACCAGTTATAACCTTGTTTCTTTCTTTTTGGATTTAAGCGACATTCCATTACATTTCTGTTAGTTGTTGAGCTACGATTTGTTTGAATCGAATTCAAAGAAAATTAGTTTCTTGGAAAGAAAAATTAATATTTGAGGTCTGCAAGGGACAGGATTAATATTAAATGTAGATAATAAAGAGATTGGGTTTTATACTCCTTATCCTGTTAGAAATGTATTAAAATATCTTTGTATAATTTAGAACAGGGTTGATCCTTAGGCGTTAACAGTCAATTTTGAGTTAGATCTAACTGTTTTTTTTATATAACCACTAGAAAAGCTTACTCCTGGTTGGGGTAATAAGGATCAACTGTACCTTTACTCTGGCAAAGGTATAAAAAGTAAGAAATAGCAAATAAAAAGTAAATTAAGTTAAATACAGCAATTTTACACCATATGGATTATATAAAAAGTTATGCCAACTCTGCTGATGAATATTTCTGACAAAATACTGGATCAGGTTATTTTCAGCGTTATCTCTGTAAAAAATGCACCCATGAAATTTATATTTTGCATTGGTTGAATAATGTAGCTGTTATTTTTCAAAATTTCTTTGTAATTATAATTAGACATTGAACTTGTTTGTCCAGGATTCAAATGGGACCAGGTTACAATTTTTTTAAAAACAGCAAAAAACACATATCTCATTGTAGCTGGGATTGATCATAGTCAGATAATTGTTATAATTGATATGTTATTCACAACATAATTGCTCAGATCGAAATTGGACCTTTGTGCACCGCCCTCACCCTATATATAATTCTTGCTTTACATTAAGCTACCCTAGATGGATATCAAACCAGGAATCTCTTAATGGAATCTCATAGCATCTTCATTAAATTTATTGCATATAAATAAATACTAACTACTTCTTGGTGTAATAAACGAGGTTTAAATATAGTGACCAGAAGTCACTCCGTTTCATTTTTTATTTTCGAAATATATTTGAAAATATTGAGTGTACTTGAAAACGTTTGAGTTGTCTTGTATATGTGTGTATGTAACACTTATGTGTGTGAATGGATTCTTTGTACTATTAAGCTCTGTGGAAATATAAAGGAGTGCATAATTCTTATTAGAATGCTGACACAAAACAGTCGCGAAAATACGTTAATTGCCTCCGCGTCACTCAAGAGTTGATGCGAGATCTTTTTAAACCTAATTGGAAACTTCTGTCATGGTTGACAAAGCGACGACAAAATTCAAGTCAGAATGTGAAATATAATTTGTGCACAGTTTATTCGTAATGTTAATGAAAGTTCTATATGTTTTATGTGTGACATACTGATATTAACATTTGGTGAATTTATTCATTAACTAGATGACCCGACAGACGTTGTCCTGTACTTATGTTTATAATTCAAAAGTCAATTTTTTTTAATAACCTTTACTGATATTTGTCAATTTCGTAAAAATTGACACTACAGTCTATACCGAAATGTATATACACCAACCCATATGGATCTTAAATGCACAACTGCTTTAAATAAAATGATGAGTATTTGCTTTTTTGAAAAACATTATAAAACATTTTTTTCTTATAATTAGTTATTTTATCGATATCCGAAGTTATTTTGGAAAAAATGAAATTACACTACTGAGAGGGATGTCATCCCCCCGGGAAATGGCAAAGGGGTCTAAATTATTTTCACTTTTGAACTTGAGAGTAAAATAAACTTAATTCCAAAATTTCATACAAATTGGAGCACAGTAAAAAAAATTAGACCCAAAACGCTCTATTGACTGAGTAAATATTTCGTATCCGATGGCAAAAATATGAAAATACTAACGTTTGTATGTGAAAACTAAAAGGGCCGTTTTTAGGGTTTTCCTGACAATTATTTGATTTTTTTTGCAGTAAGAACCATCCTTGACTTTAACGAACATTTAAAAAAAATAGCCAAATTGGTCCAGGCGTTGTTGAGTTATGTGCTTACCAACACATTTTGCGACTTATTTTTATATTATAGATAATATATATTTATACTAGTTAATCCGACAGGCGTTGTCCTATACCCACGTCTATAATTCAAAAGTTCAATATCCTATCCTATACTTTTTGATATCCTATTTGATGTCCTACCTTTGTGCTTCGTACATGATCTTAACTTAAGCAGTATATAAGAAATTCAGAAAAAAATAATAAAGTATCTGCAGTAAAAGTATAACGACACACTTGATTTTACGACACAACAAAATTGCTTCAATAATTTAGTCTATAATTTTCTAAAGTACATTTTTCTTATTTCTTAGTTCTAAGTCTAGGTGAGTTAATTTGTAAAATTTAGTTTATATGTGCACTCTTCAATCTAGCTTTAGTTAAATATTCCATATTCAATGCCAAACAAATGAATTTTTGGCACATGAAACAAAATTCTAAATCATTTTTTTTCAGTAAGTAGAAATATTTTTTATATTGTTAAAAGTAAAGTAAACCGAAATGCGACATGCATAAGTTTAAAAAAATAATGTATATGTAATTTTGGACTTATTGCGTTACCGAATAACATAATTTCATCTGCCAAACCATATACTGTTGACTGTATCTCATATTATTTTAATTTCTGGCACATCTCAGCTGCTTTTCGACAATAATAATGTAGACATTATATTTTTCTTGTATATTATATTCTAATATTATCGAGACTCATAATTTCAGCTAGTGAATTAACATTTCTAGCAGATGACAGTTCAAATCCTTTCAATGTCAAACAATGTTGAATGATTTTTTGTATTTTTTTCTATTTATTTCTATAAAATTACTATAGTTGCATCGTTGATTAAATCTTAAATATTCCCTTTTACAAACTCTAAAAAGAATTATCAAAATCCGAATAACGGTTTAGGAGAGGTATCAAATCACCCGTACAGAAGAATTTTATATATAAGATAAATGTATGAAATACTAAAAAATATTATCACAAGTATGGTTACAAATACTCTAGTATTTTTACCCTTTGTGAAAACCAAGTAGAACTCATATTGATACAGTACTCCCCTTTCAGTGACTATGATTCTGAAACACATGATATTCTGCTTTTTAGTAGTTTGCTACTTACTGGTAGTGGACGTTGGTTGTTCTTTAAAATGAAGATTGTTCTGAATGAGTTGATTATTGGCTTCATCTTTCTCTGTCCTGTATAATATAGAATTGCTGAAGTCATTTTGACGAAAAATTGTATCCGCACATACATACACAGACATGCACAAACACACATACATCAATTTTTTAAGGTATGCTAAGGTTTAAAAACCTTTGAAACGCAGATATATATAAAGATTTTTATTTTAGATTTTTTTTGCGATTACTAGAATTTACCCAACGGTAAGTTAATAAAGATGAGAAAATACGTGTATTTATTTATGGTAAAATAAATTGTAATTGTATTGTTTGTGTAGGAAATTGAAATTATATGATATGATTTAATTGTACTTATAATGAATGTTTAGCAATGATAATTGAAATTATATATGATTTATTTATTTTACATTTCTTAATATATCATTATAATATTCATATACTTTGTGAATTACGAATATTGATGTACTGTGCATTAGAGAAACTTCTTATTAAAGCACACATGTCTATGAAACTGCAAGGTAATCAATCAATCGATTTTCATGTAAGAAATTCTGTATATTTTATATTCTGCACTAGAAATGCTTTGCGGTTCATCAAACTTCTAGAACAATTTTACTTCGCAGAATATTAAGGATTAAAATTATTACAGATATATATGGTATATTAATTAAAATACTCTAATTTTTCATTTACCATAATGACTCCTCACAGAAAAGAGACACAGTGCATTGAATACACATTTGCTACAATTGTGATTGTGATTGTGTCAATAATTGTGATTTTTGTTAGTTTATGTTTCCGTTGTTTGAATAAATAAAAACAATACCATGGTGTACACTTTCCATCTTACATACTAATGGGCTTGCTTATGAACGAATTTGGAGCGACTGTACCTAAATCAGAGGTTCCTGGTTCGATTCAGCTTCAAATAGGTTGCTGTCAAGCAGCAGTGACAACAATTTTATCCTGTTTCCATCACTTAGAAAAAATGGATAGAAATATGTTTCCAAGTTAAAGTAGCCTTTATCCGGTATTGCTGCATAATAATAATAATTTATCATACTGAGATAGGACAACTGTTTGGGTTGCCATCTGTAGTACCGACTTGTATCAAGAATAGTATTAAGACAAACTAGCACATCAGCTTATAGCACTCTTAAGTTCAGATTGCTCTTTAAAATAATATATTATATAAACCACACTAACAATTTATTATATTTTCAATGCATATTTTATATATTTTAGATAACATTGACCCACCTGTCAGACCAGCCGCCCTGTTCTCAACGAGGGACGTGGCTATGCTGGACAGAGCGAGGCAAGGAGATCGCCATGCGGTAAGAATATTATTTTTTTTTTCAAAATTTCAAATCAGTTTATTATAAAAATGGGCCAGCGGTGGCGATATCGGTTAAAACGTGGGCTAGCAACAACTAGTCCCGGGTTTGCTGGTTCGATTCCCGCTACCGCCGTAGCCCGACATCAGGCAACTTTTATGTCAAATTTCCACTTGAGGTTATAGATCTCAAATATAGCCTCAAGTGAAAATCGCTTCTTGTGGTTATAGTTCCATATATATAATAGAAATGTCAGCAAATAATTCAAATATTGTTAATTAGTCATAACTGGATTGGACAACTACTGGGTTGCCATCCATTCAGAAATCCATGTAATTAAAAGTCAAAACAATTACTGAATGTCCGAAGTGTGACTTATTAAAATTAAAATAATAATAATAATAAAAAAGTTTATTATAGAAATAAACTAAATCTTATGTTTTCATATTGAGTTTATAAACAAAGAATTCAATTTTAAAACACGATTATTAAATCCTATTATATGCTGATGAGCAAACTTAGCCTCGACTTGCGGAAGAGATTGATAAAGTGTTATGTCTGGATCAATGATATCTGTCGGAATTATCAATGTTATCTGTACGGATCAGAGACATGGACTTTGAGAAAAACCGACAAGAACTATCTGGAGAGTTTTGGAATATGGTGCTGGAGGCAATTGGAGAAAATAAAATGGTCTGACAAGATAACAAATGAAGAAGTCCTGAGAAGAGTGGGTAAAGAAAGGACTCTACTGAGCGCGATCCTGAAACGAAAGGGAAACTGGATCGGACCCTTTCTCGGAAAAGAGTGCCTTTTACACGACGTTATTGAAGGCAAAATAGAAGGACTGAAAGGATTAGGAAGAAGAAGAATGCATATTGTTGCTGACTTACGCGAAGAGAGGAATTACAGGGAACTGAAAGCCGAAGCACAGGACCGGGGAGCATGGAAGCAGATGTTTGGAAAGAAATATTCATAAAAACGAATATAAAGTGATTGATGGCCATGAATTAAGAATGATAAAACGGTGAAGGGAATAATAAACTAGGGAGGGGAAGAAAATCATTGATTTGTTGTACTCTCGTACTCTCATGCCATGACCCTGTCTACGGACAGACTACTATTTATTAGTATTATTATATATTGTTAGATAATTTAGCTTTCTTTTTGTGAATACATTCCTGAATCTCTTATTTTTTAATTAAAGTTCGCTAATTATTGACTTTCCGAAGTAAAAGTTTGCATTCGCCAGAAAAACCGAATTTTTAACTTTGTGGTTTTCGATAATTTAAATCATTCTGAATCATTTGAAACCTAAATCGCCAAATTGTAATCTGTGTACATGTGAGCCGATTTTTTGACATATTCTCAAAAATGGCTAAATCGATTTCTAACATTAGATGAAACTCGATCAGGACTCGCACTGCTTAAATTTTTGATACGGTTGAACCGTTTTTTTATAATTATAGTTGTCTTTTGTTTATATTATAATAATAATATAATATACTATAATTCAGTTTTGAGTACATTAATATCAAGTATTGATGATTTGTGTGATAATAAAATGAACTAGTCGTGTAAGGCAAATTGCTGGAACTTCCCGCATCGTAACGAAATGTTCGAGAAAAATTAAATTTTCAAATGATTATTATAAATATTGTAACATTGTCTAATATTTATAAGAATTATATAAACGGAATTGCAAAATTGAAATTACTTGTTTGAAGTCAGAAACTTAGAACATAGAAAACTTAAAAGTAGAACTTTAATCAAAATTGAAGTTAAAATCTTATCTTATTTTTGATATACGAAAAAACATTTCGTTTGAGAAAAAAATTGAAACAAAGGCTCTTTTCCAAGAGCATTTTCTTTAGTTAATACAAGCAGCAAGTTTTTTGAATCATTCAAATCGGATGTTTAGTTCTCTCAAAAACTGTCATTTTTTGCACATTTAGCTCGGTATCTTCAAAACGGCTGGACCTGCCTTTGCAAAACTAATCACCACTTTTTCCAATCATTACAAAATAAATGTTTTCTATCTTCTGCATTCTTTTCTTCGTATCTCCATAATGGCTGGACCTGCCTTTGCCAAAAACTAATCAGCACATCTTCTTATCCATAGGAATCCAATGTTTTTTGGATTCCTAAGTATTCAAATCGGTTGATCCGTGCGCTCAAAAAAGTGGACGAAATATTGTATCTATTCATACAAACACACACGCACACAAAACACACCCACACATCAATTTTTTCTGAGGTATGCCAAAATGTTCAAATACCAAATAAATTCAAAATTTCATTTTCGATTTTCGGCTCATCATTATAACTACGAGAAGTTAAAAATAAAAATAGAATATTTGAAAAAGAATTTTCAACTGGGCAAAAATAAAAATGTTTTAATGAATGAGTTTTATTTTTAATATACATCAACGATTTATGACATTCAAAACAAAAAGATAAATTGATAAAGTTTGCTACTCAATAAGAAGTTTGCTAATACAAATATTTGAATAAATAAATAAAACAGGAACATCTAAATAGTGTATTGTGATAGTTCAATAACCGGTAGCAGGACCAATGATTGTTGAAAAGGCAAAAAGAAATAATTGGGTGAGATTTAGGAGTTGCTGAAAGTGTATGTAAGTATTCTGGTTGTTGGCTCAGAAACTTCAAGTTTTGACGAGAAATTCATAGACCTGTATCTGAAAAAATAATTACAGAATATTAAACCGGTACGAAAAATTCAACGATTGTTTGAAAATTTTGTGGCTGTTAAAAATTTGACTCTATATCAGCTGGGTAAAAAGAACAAGTTGCCGGGGTTTGTAAGAAAAACCAAGACAAATTGACCGTTTTGCCAAGTGCTAATGACTGTCGCCCCTGTTTTCACCACTTTGTATTATTTTACACTTTAATTAATCTAAATGTTTTTTTATAATTACTGCCTGATAGTTCGGAATGTTCGATAGTCGGTCCCGAGCGTTCCGGACTTTTACTGTATTGTAAAAATATGATATTTAGTTATATTACTTATAACTTATCAAAAACTTTCATTCATTTACGCTAATCAATAACTAAAATTTTAGGCTTTTATAATTGTGTAGTTATAAATGCGAGCTATTTAATCATCAATTAAATATACACTCAATCAAATGTTGTGCGTTGAATCTGCTTAACTTATGGTTAAATTATTATTTAGCAATCAGCACAAACAATTAATTTTAGCGCTTCAGTTAATGACGAGTAAGTATATATTTGCATATAATTTCAAATGCACTTCTACGCATATTGTTTAAATCTAATGGCCCATTTGAATAGTAACTGTTCAATAATTCTATTCAAATAATGCACTGAACCGATTACCGATGGAAATGTGAACCTCAATGGTACTTAATGCGACATCATTATTAATAATTGTCCGTGTCAATATATCTTGCCATAATTTGTTGTTAAATTTACGTATTAAAGCAGCAGAGCATTTAGTCGCTTTCACGGTTGGATGAATAATTTAATGTTCTATGAAATTTTGTAACACATATTGTATTTTGAATCGAATCAACCGCAACCATGCTGTTTTTAATTACTATCTATTCGAGTGAGCTCGAAATTTGAAATTTCTCGAAAAGCTCATTCAGCTTTTGTGAAGTTTTGCTTTAAGACAAGTTGAATGAACTTACCGATATGATATCTTATCAATAAATCTAAAGCTGCTCCAAACAAATGAAAATAAATCTAATTTTAGATTTAGCTATCTAGATGAAAATATCAACTGCCTCTTTCAAAAATAAAGTTTTCACTGTTATTAAAAAGTAATTTGTGCAAATTTAGAATGGTATGTGTCAATCAGACTTTTAACATCTGTAACTGTATGAATTATTGCTTGTATGTCCTTAAAGCGCAGCCAATTAATTATGCCAAATTTATAGAATGTATCGTAGGCCTCTAATATTTTTTATGACCGTTCAAAGATTATGAACGCTATCGTCAATATTATATTAAAAGCTTCTAATTCTCTTTTTTTGAAATCAGTACAGCCGTGTTTTGAGAACGTCGACAAAAGATATAACTCATTTAAAAAACGCGCTGCTCATTTGTCAACCTTTAACAAATATTTATAATTAAACAATTTGTCTAAGTCACTTTTTTAAAAATTGTTGAAAAATTGTTTAACAAATATTCACAAAGAAACGATAAAAACCAATAAGCACCATTCCCAATTGATATTATTTGTATTTTATTTTTAAAATCGATTCAGAATGTTTGGCTATAACGTTATCGATTTTTTTACAGTTTTCTGCTATTCATAAAGAAACGGCTTGGTCGATCGTCGCATAAATAAATGTTCCTATCGAGATACATCGAACGTCTTTTACATTTTACTGAATTTTAAATTGGTAGCTATTTTTGATCAAATGTCGACGAAAATCGCCTTATACACACAAATTTGGTTTATTCGAAGAAGCTTTGGAAGTTAAATATGAATACTAAAGTTACATACTAGTGGTGCATGGCATTGTTTCTTAAGGTATATTGCTGGAACTTCCCGTAGCATAATGAAATATTTGAGAAATTTCAAATGTTTTCAAATAGATTATTACAAATATTGTAACTCTCATTGTTTGTATTTTATTGGCAAAATATAAGAGCTTGATTAATTGGCAATGACACAAATTTTACTCAAGAGGAGTTAGAATGACGGGCATATCTCATATTTCTAAGAATTGAATTGCAAGTTTAAAATTATTTATTTCAAGTATATAAGTGTGCTTAAGAAGTTTAGCTAGAATTAAAATTCAAATACAAATAAATTACAGATTACAAATTTAAATAATTTTGAGAAATTAAAAAAACATTGAAATCAATAAATAATTTAAAATAAGAAAATGTCTTCTTTAGAAACATTTGCTCAAAAACTGTAATTTTCAGCACATTTAGCTCTGTAACCCCCAAACGGGTGGGCCTATCTTTGTCAAAAACTACCCAGCACGTCCCGCCGTCAACACGAATAGAATATATTGTGAAAGGTCCTGAGTCCTTTTCCTTTTTTGGACGATTACTATAACTTACCCTACGGGAATTAAATATTTTTAAAGGTACAAAATGCAATTACTTCAAACTACTCCTTGATGTTATTGATCACACTAAAAACTTTAGTGAGGAATGCTAAACAAAATAATAAAATGAGTCTTGCAGCAATATTTTTTTTAAGAATTCAATATCCTTTTATATACACTAAGACTGCATTCTATTCGAAATAAAATTCAAAGTATTGCCATATTTGAAACAGGAGTAGTGGAAATCGATGTTCAGGTCATTGCTCGACGAGTTCCAACTACTACGCGCAAGAGTTTTAATCATCCGAATATCCGCACTCGGGTTTGCTTTGATATCCGCTTCTGGATTGGTTAGATTAATTATTATCAGTTGCGAATTAATTGAAAACTTTAGATTTAGTACATCGATTTCAGTCATTGTAAATGGACGACCTCGTTACTGTATCCTCACCGATCTGTCAATGAAAGTTCATATGAGCGTGGAGGAATTACGGACAAAATTACATGGCAATCTGTTTTTCAATGATATTTATTTATTATTTTTTTACATATCTTCTGTATATATAAAAATAAGTCGGGGTTTCCTTCCTGACGAAATAACTCCAGAACGCACGAACCGATTTCGACAATTTTGCATTCGTTGGAAAGGTCTCGGGCTCCGCAAGGTTTATACCTAAGAAAATTAGTTGTGCATGGCATCGTGCTCTAATGCAAATTGCTGGAACTTCACGCACCGTAATTAAAAATTTGAGTAATGAAAATAATCAACAATTGTTTTAAATAATTTCAAATAGATTATCTACTTATATATAAAAATAAGTCGGGTTTTCCTTTCTGATGATATAACTCCAGAACGCACAAACCGATTTCGACAATTTTGCATTCGTTGGAAATTTCTCGGGCCCCGCAAGGTTTATAGCTAAGAAAATTAGTTGTGCATGGCATCGTGCCTTAATGCAAGCTGCTGGAACTTCACGCACCGTAATTAAAAATTCGAGTAATGACATTAGTGAGAATTATCAGAATTATGCTTGGTTAAGTCAACGAGCAATTCTTGCCGCAAAGAATAATGATGCACACGCACCGAATTTCACCATTCAATAAAAAATTGCTGGCGATTTGGTGACATACCAATGATTGACTTCAAGCGATTGCAATTTTCAGTTCGCCTTGCGTTCGCAATAACAAGTCGCAAGGCCAATCGCTTAGTGTTTGCGGGATAAATTTCAAATAGATTATTTAGAAAATCATTGTTTTTCACATGGGCAGTTATACGTTGCCTGTTCATGAGTTGGAAAACCATCCGCTTTGTTTTGTTAACGTCAGACCAAAAAACAAAAAATGTGGTTTACCAAAGAGCACTTCAAACGGATAATTTGCGGATTCACTTTCATTTACTTAGAGAAGTTCAACTAAAAAACACTTCATTTTTATAATCGAAATAAATTCATTTTTGTTGTATAATAAAATCAAATTTTTCCTTTTCAAATATAAAACAAATAAAAAAATTCTTCATCTTTCTCACGAAACCATCTGGTGGCGAAACGGAGTTCGTCGGGTTTGCTAGTATATATATATATATATATATATATATATATATATAGATATATATATATTTACCCATAGTTTTTACTGATCTTTGGTCATTGACCATCAGTAAGATAGTATTTTAATCAGGTAGGAACTATAATAACATATTTATTAATAAAAGGTGCAATCTATTACAAAAACCATTGGGTCTTTATAGTGTAACTAATTTAGATATATAGGGTAAGGACAAACTGAGATGCTAATTTTTGAGAAAGCAATTCATAAGTAAGTTGTTTTGTCTCTTTGGGATATTAACACAAAAAGCATGAATCCAGAAGGTACAAGTCATGTCATACATACATTCAATTTTTGACGAGCTCAGAACGGCAAAAGGCGTTTTTTCCAACAAACATTGTTTTTATTATTTTTGAACAGCAATCAGAACCCAATAGTCCTATAAGCTGTTGTACTGATTTGATTTAATACTAGTCTGTTTGACAGATGGCAACCCAATCAGTTGTCACATCTGTATATGATATATATTATTATTACAATTTCTGTAATAGGGCGAGTATTTTTATTGGTGCAGCAATGACGGGTGAGGGCTATTTTACTTGGAAACATCACTATCTATATTTCCAAGTGAAAATCGTTGTCACTGCTGCCTAACAACAGGCTGCTCGAAGTGAGTATCGAACCCGGGACCTCTGAACCAAGTCCCGTCGCTCTTAACCAACAAACATAAGTCTCTTATTCTTACGGTTTTATCCTTTTGTCCGTTTTTAGCATACTTGGAATTGACCTTAAAAGTAAATCACATTTGACAAGTTTCAATTTGTTTTCTTGGCCCTGTAATGCTTGCGAAATAGTACCATTATTTTGTCTATTGTATAAGCATGTAATTTTTGTTCGAAATTGGACAGAATTGAATACTTAATTAATGAAAATTTTAAGTTTAATTGTGCACTATCTAAAACTTAATATTAAGAGCTAAAACATTCAGAGAATTGTTTCAAATTCGAAAATGCCCATATTAAGGACCACCCCAATGTACATATATATATATATATATATATATATATATATATATATATATAGTGTAGTGTATTTTTGTATAATTAATTTTTTTTTCCACTGAATGACGGTCTCGATGAAGACCGAAACGTATGGATAAATAAAGTATTTCAAAACTACTTTAGTTTTTTTTTACTTGGTGTTACTGCCCGATTATAAATAACTCATCAAAATATATATCAACACCAAACTCACATATTTCAATATATATATATATATATATATATATATATATATATATATATTTAATAGCATAAATAAAAATCATTTTCTTTGTAATCATTAAACCCTTTGTAATATAATATAATTGTACCTTCGTTCTTTCATCAGTCTTTGATTATAATTAAAATTATGAGCGGAAGGAATTTCTAATTGAAACCCAATATTCTGAAAAGATCGTGTTTTAGCACTTTGTTAAATATTTGATATTTGTGTTATTAATTAATGGACTTTGTACAGTAATGAACTAAAACTAAAAATCATGTCATTATAATGAAATTTGTAAAGCTTGATATATTATACTATTCAATGAAAGTCATTTAGTTATATTAGCTATCAACATTTATAATTGCTACTATCAAAGTGAAATAAGTTTAGAGTATTATATATTTCTTGCGAAATACTAAATGTCCTTTGTTAGCTTTCATTAAGTATTGAATATTTATGAACTTTTTTTGATAATCACTTAAAAATTGTATAGATGTATTAAATTTAATTTTAGGCGACGATTGGCCAAAAAGTTTCACTGTAATTACCAGAAAAGAGCATGATTTTTGTTCACATTTTTGTGAAAAATCCTGAATCGATTTTGAAAATTCAAAATTTGTTCAAAATATATTGGTTTAAAAAAAATATGGGGTAGGTAGTTTCTTCGTAATAAATTGTTGCTACTTTTTTTGACGATTTTTATGAAAGTAGTCAGCCGATTTCAAAAATTTAAAAGCCATGATGAAACGAATGTCTTTTAAAAATCGGCCTGAACTTTTTTTAAAATTAGCAAAATAATTTAAAAAAAAAATCTTTTTTGTTTTCGTTAAAAATTCTCATAGAACCAGTTTCAAATTTTATCTAAATAGTTCCCTTAAGTCAAAAAAATACTTACACCTAGTTTATATAATATTTATCACAAGAATTTGATTCTATTTTTCAGATACCAGGATTAGGTGGAGGCAACAGTCCGCCCCTGTGGCAGCAGAGTCGGCCTTGGGCGATACCAGGAAAGACGAGCGACCACATAACTACGGACACCATACCAGGGCCGGAGTCATGTGTATGAATTAGTGGAAATTAACAGTGTGGTAAAAACAAACTGTGTTGACATTCCAGAAATTAGTGATAATTCGAATGCATGGTGATTTTTAAAACTAACTTATTCATGTGAGTGAATAGTGTGAGGGACAAATTTAAATATTATATTAGAAGACAATATAAAAACTATTTCTTTATATTAGTAATGTTTATGTGTAAAAATATTTATATATAGAGTATATCTTGTTATAATATAATTGGGTACTACGTGAATATGGTATAGACTTTTTTCGGTATTATTACTCTTTCACGAGGTCTGTACTGATAATTTAAATTATATAATTGTAAGTTATAATTACGGCGTTAACAAATTTATATTATTTATATGTAATAGATTAAACGTGGCACATTTTCTAGTAAAAAAAATCAGTTACAAGTACATTACTACTAACAATTCATTTATTAATTCAAAGAGTAAATGTTATTTAAACCATGGTCTTAACTATGTGTAATGTTTTATATCGGACATCGATAAAAATGTTTTAAATATTATTCATTGGTATAATGAGTACCTAACAACTTAAATATCTAAACCGAGCTTCTATCTGTCCTCTGATATCAGATTTTTAAAAAATTTACGAGGTACAGGTAGTATATCCATGATTTAATTAAACGATTGAATTTAATAAAAAGTATGATATAGGAGCAATTTTCCGATAAAATAGAAATATAACATAGCGTTGTTATGGCAACGATATGTTACGGCTCAGTCTTCATATAAATTGGTAGTAAATACTATCAAAATCTAATGTATTTGCGGTGAGGTCAGGTGTTTTAGATATAAAATCTAACCTAAAACACATAACTGCGTCTTTCTGAAGTAATGTGCCACTGATAACACATACATGAAATTAGTTTTAATGTGTACAAAACAACTACATATAGTACCAATTTGTATGAACAAAGGATCGTAATATTGAATTGTTGTAATGGGTCTATTTTACCAAAGAATTGCCCCCATAATCTTGAATACGTTTTTACATTATAATCTTTATAAAAGATTAGATTATCATTCAAATGTAGATTTTTAAATCAGTTGCTTTTACAATGTATTATTGTAAGCTATTTCCCTATTTTTAACAATTAACCAGTTAATTGCGGTGCACTCATAGAACAATGTGCATAGCTTCTCTTGTTCGAATCGAGATCATGACGAGTATATTCACAAAGTAAGTTTCGCACTATCATCGCCGAATAAAAATATTTAAAAAATAAATAAAATTTTATTACAACATTTTACTTTTTTGTTAACATATATCACACACGTTTTAAATTAAAAACGGATTAAATTCAATGAAATTTTATACATGTAAATGTGTATGAAGTATAACTAAATTTCTAAATAATCAGTAGAAAATGTAATTTAAATAACTAAATCTTAATTCTTGTTATTGAGTAGGGAAGCTAACGGCTTGTTGTAACAGTTTTTTTCAAAATAATATATATGTCTTGAGATACTCTGAATATATTTTTACGAAACCAAAATTGGTAAATACTGTAACTATTCCTTTACCGAATCAAGTAAAAATAATCTTATAACTATTGTTAAATTTTTCACAATTAATCATTTTCTAGAAAAGTTGCGCCTACCTCGTGTTTTGGGGCTAGTTATGACATCTGCCGGAAAATTGACTCGTTTCAACGTAATTCTTTTTATATTTAATGTCTTTTGTAATATAAATTTTCATTCTAGATCAACGTAAACTGCAATTATTATCACAATAAAAATAAAAGATATAATGTCGCTTGCAACACATTTTACATTTGTTCACATCTTACAAGTTACACATTCTATCCAATCTTCTTCACTTGAATTTGTATATAATTTTTGTATGTTACATCTAGCCCCAAGGTTTCGGTCCAACTAACTTCAGGTGTGATTGTTTTACAATAATCCAGATGAATTTAAATATATAAAAACTATTTAAACATTTTAGCAATCACAATTGTTACACATCATCGAAGATTGATGAATTTGAAACAAAATAAAATTTAAGTTAATATGGTTTATATTTAGTCAATTACAATATAATAACGTAAACCGAAGATTTATGATAGTTCAAATTTATATTATTAGTCAAAAATGACGCACCTGCACAATTCTGTTTACTGCACCGGCTTGCAGAACATTAGCTCTGACGTTGTTATGAAGTGGACTTAACACGTCCAATCGAGGCAAAAAAATATTTTAACCCTTTCGACTCGAATGCTGCCGCAAAATTCATATAAATCTCGGAGTGGAAAGTGTTAATATTGTTTGAGACCCTATTATAAAACGTCTGTTGCTACTTACCCCTATAACAATGAGCCCTTAGCTCCCCTACATATATTATTTCCACATTTCAGCAGTTCATACAACTTAACTTAAGGTAAAATATCACTTTCATCCATGTGTTTTATACAATCATAGCCACAAAATATTCTAAACATCTTGAAATTTCAGAATATTGATCGAAAATGATCACTATTTCATAAGCATGACGAAAATATTTGTAAATACACAAAATTATGTCATATGTTCATAAAGAAAATATTCGTCAGCCACAGTTTTCTGAGTATATGTTTGGAAATCGCCAGAGATGTATGAAATCAACTTTTATAAAGATTACTCATGCGAATATTTGTGATTGCTTGATAATGACAATGTTAAACAATCAAAGCAAACCAAAAAAATATTATATTAAAACTTTTGTTTATCCATTAAATTTCAGTTTTAAACAAAATCATCCAATATGTTATATTTGAACATATATTATGCATAATTTATTCTTAACTTTTTTTAGTTAAAATATAACTTATTCGAGGATTTTGTTTAAAACTGAAATTTAATGGAAAAATAAAAGTTTTAATATAATATTTTTTGGGGTAATTTTGAAAATTATACCTTTTTGAATTTTATAAATTGAACCATAAACGTTCATTTTAAAAATCTGTTTTTTAATGAATCTAAACATCAATTATTATGTATGTTAACAAATTCATTATTATATCAGAAATGGATCCAGATTATCAGAACTTGCTGCATTACAATAACCAATGAAACAATGTCAAATGTGCTATCAGTCCAGAGCTAGACATTTTCAGTTTTCAAATAAGTTGTTTCCATATATTAGTTTTGTAATATATCTTATGTATAAAAGTGTGAATCTGTGAATGTGCACGTCAGACGTGCCTAATAAAATTTTGTCAGGACAAAAATCATTGTATAAAATGCGATAGAGTAATGGATCTGTAAGTAAACACACGCAGCGAATTCACCATTTACACTGCGTTACATAGTCGAATTCGATTTAGTGTTAAAGTCTGCTGGTGTCAGAGTTTGGCAACTTAAAACCTTACAGCACAAGAAATGACGATTAAAAGAAATGAACTAGTAGTGCATGGCACCGTGCAAATTGCTGGAACTTCCCGTACTAAAAATTATTTTTTAAAATGATTAACGTTTTTGAAGAAAATTTACTCTGAAAAAATTAGATTTTTGAGAAACTATAAACTTCTGACAAAAATTTACTTTTTTTTCAAAAAAAGACTTTTTGAAGAAAAATTTATTTTGAACTATTTTGGAAATTCTAAATTTATTTTTAAAGCAACCGTACAGCTTCAACTGCATAGAGACGAAATATCGACGCGCGTAAGCGCCGCGTCGCCGGCGAACGGAAAAACATTGGTACATTGAATGTAAACAAAATTTATACTTATCGTTAAAATCTCTATAGAATATCTGATAATTTGATGTCTTACCAGATCTCCGAAACCGCTAGACCTGCCTTCATGAAAATTTGATCAGTTCTTCATCTTGTTAATACAAGTAGAATGTTTTTTGAATTATTCAAATCGCTTCATTCGTGTTCGTGAAATTGTCGACGAAAATTTGTATCCGCACACACATACATACATAAACACATACATCCATTTTTTCTAAGGTATTCCGAAACGTTCAGAAGGTTTTGAAACGTAAAGATATATAAAAATCTATTTTAGATTTTTTTGCGATTACTATAACTTGCCCTACGGGAAGTTAATAATAGGTTTTCTTAATTTTTAATTTAGTCTATTCGTGTTTTATTCTAAATTTTTTGTTAGTCCGACATATTTTTTTATTTAGACAAATTTTTTCATGTTTATTCTTTATCAATTTTTTCTCTCGTGGATTATGAAATCTGACAGGACACCTTTTTCCTAATGTGTTTACCGTAGTTGATCTTACTTTGTTCAAAATCATGCATTTCGAGTTAATCTAAATATTCGTATTATATTTTCTAAATATACTCATATGTATTTCCATTTAAAACATTTAATTTAATAATGAAAATTTTAATCCTTTAAAATAATCCAGTTCGTCACCGACCACGGAAGAGTAAACAAGTCTCGTATATATATTTTTCACATTTATTTTTTTCAATTTTAATTTTAAAATAAGCTACTCTATTACCTCCTAAGGAATATAATATACCTGGTGCATTTAACCCTCCGTCGGTCGGCGTGGTCTGGCCAGACTTTTTTCGACTTCAATTAAAAAAAAATACTTCTGATAATCCTATCGACTTGAAATTTCTTGGCTTTTCCTAAAATTTCATTACCTGTCGATCAATGAAAAAATCAGGACAAAAAATGTACAGAAGGATAATTATAAGGATATTAACTTTTTTATACTTCGAATGGTCGGAGTGGTTTGTCTAGACCACCCATACATTTTGTATGAAATATACGCTTTTTGATATATGTAAACCAGTATTTTATCTTTTTTTGGTATTTTCTATTCAAACTGCGTTTTATATATTCTTTGCTATGAGTAGTAACATGAATGTTAATATTTTCACGACGAGATCCTTGAAAACCTACCAAACTTATTGGTCATCGCAAACATTGAAAATCGGATGAGAAATGCGCACATTATCAATGATTTCCCGTACTGCTTTCGAAATTTTTTTTGGCAAACCTGTAGTGAAATTATATTTTGAACTTGAAATTTTAGCTCTTTTCAAAGGCGACGCACATCATTTCGTTTTTATTTGAATTTCACATTCATTTTGAAGGAACCAAAAAAGAATAAATATTGGTTTTCATTGATATACAACAGAAAAATAATAATAATAAATAGCGACGATTTTCTTATATTCTTAGATTTTTTTTATATAATATAATATAGCATATATTATTTTATTATAAGCAAGCTCAACACATGCAAAAGACGGC